TGAAAATACTCTGTATCTTGACTGTATCAACATCCGTATACTGGATGTGACATTGAACTATAGTTTTACAAGTTTCCCCATGGGGAGAAACTGGATAAAGCGTACATTCTGTATTATTTCTTATAATTAGATGTGAATTTACAATTTTCTTAAAAGTTAATTTTTTAAAAGTAGAGACCTCTCGTTTCACCAAAATGTTTCAAGGAAATCCCATATAGAAACCCCAAAGGGTCAGAACTGCTTGGTGAGGCAGGGGCAAGGAGCTAACTTGCTTTCTCTCCCACCCCATCCACCTCATTGCTCTGGGAGCACCCCTGCAGAACTCCCAGGTCACCCCCCACCCCAGACCAGATGATCCCTCAGCCCCTTTCCTCCTCGGCCTTCTGTATCTCTGAATCTGGCACTGGCAGGAGAGGAGACGTCCCTGGGGACTGGGAGTTACAAGAACGTCTCCTAGTAAGGAGCCTAGTGGGATCCCTTCTCCGCACAGGAACACGGGGCAGGGTCGGAGACTGCAAACAGTTGAGTGGGCCCCCATTCTTTCAGCAAATGCCAGACAGGCAGAAGTGGCCTCTGGTGTGGCCCAGTCCAGAACAGGTTCAAATAGCAGGGCCATTTAAATCCTAAAGCACAAACCTAATTAGCCAAGAGAAAGTGAGCAGAATGGGTTGACTTAGGGGAAATATACTTTACCACAGGCTTTAGTTATTATCTCTCACCTCTCTCTGGTCTTTAGGGTCTTAATTTGAAGACAGCAGGGTTAGGGAGAGAAGGGACAGAATGGACAGACAGATACGGAAGTTCTAGAGTGAAAGGAATGGCCTTTTCTGCTCCTGAACAAGGCTCTGATGCCACCCAGGAGGTTCTCTCTGCTGTTCTCCTGCTTCAGAGGCCCTTCTACTGTAGTGGGATTAAAATATGGGGAGGGTCCATCATCATCTTTCCCACCAACATGGGGGCGCTGTCCTTGGTGCTGAACACACACACACGCACTCCAGGACAGAACTAGAGCATTACATGACTGTTTCCCAAAGGGGGTTCTATGGTACCCTAGTCCTGCAAAGTGCTCTGTGGAACAAAAAGGAAGGTTGGGGTGGATTTCTGGCCAGAGGAGTTTAGGAAGTACCGCATATGCATACGATACTGCCACTTACTTGAAGAGTCAGCATCCATCTAAGACCAATAAAGGCACTGAGAAGTTCTGCAATGAAGTAATTTATTTAACAATCTTTTAACTCAGCGCGTCCAAAACATTTGACTAGGGAGTCTATTTGAACTTTTTTCCCTCCATGAAACTCTTTAACATTCAGTGTTTCCATAAGCGTGGTCCGTGGACCACTCCAGCTGCACGTGACACTCCCGCCCCCTGAGGATTCCCATGCACATTGACATTTGGGAGCCAGCAGATCAGTGTTGCTAGAACACCCCAGGCAGCTCTGCAGCAGAACAGTTAGGAAGGTAACAAACCACCGGGGAACGTGCTGTGGATGCTGTGGGTTCGTGGGGCACAAGCATTGAGGAGAGACTGCAGACTGCAGGGGCGAAAGGGTTTTGGCTGGATCCTAGCAGAGAGAAAGCCTGGGGGAAAGAACACTTGTTTGTTTTCTCGGAGTCCAAGACCACAGTGGCCCCAAGAGGAGTATAACCACATACTGTGGCAGCTCTGTGTGGCCTCCGAGCCCCTTAGTCGGACCCGTGTGCGAGCTGCACACTAACACAGCACTACCAGTGTGCCCAGGAGGAAGCCAAGGCCTCTACAGCTGTGAGCAGAAGGCATGAGGAGGTGGGGGTGCCTGGGAACAAGCCACGCCCTGGTCACCTTTTCTTCTCACTTCTGCATGAGTCCTCGGTGTGAGCAGGCGTCAGGGTGGTTTTGAGGGTGAGGTGGGCCTGTCTCCTGGTGTAGAGTTGCAGAAATCAGATTGCAGCCTGCCTGCGGGTCCATCTGTCTGCAGGCTCCTGCCCCTCTGGCTTCTCTGGACACTAAGAGGGTTTGTGGAACCGGTGATGCGTATATGCGTGTGTGTGTGTTGTGGGATGCAAGCTTTGAGGGTTGGTGTCCAGAACTCAAGACTGAGGGAATATCCAGGCACTTATATGGTGTCAAGGGGCTTTGACTGGATCTGAAGCCACAGGGCAAGGTTTGGATGCGGTCCGCCTAGATGCTGTCAGCCCAGGGCTAGCAGATGCAGGGATGGGCGTGTGAAGCCATTAGGTTCCGGCTGCCCCAGTTCGTTGCAACAATAAGTCACTCTGGGCACTTCCTGGGCCACCACCTCTGCAATGACAAGAGATGACAAAGGAACAGCTCTGCTGGTGAGGTTCTTTCCTCCCTGGGCTGAGGCTTGAAGGGTATAGACTTTGTTGACAAATGCCAGGAGATTTCTCTAGCCCCATGTTGATAAAAGATTGCATGAGGTGATTATATGCCTGTCACATTCCATTGCAACAGACTCTGAGGGAATATCCAGATTCCTGTTATGTGCTGCAGTTATTGTGTCAAATAGAGCCACAACAAGTAGGTCGTCCCCTGTGACCAAAGGTTTCGTTGGGGGTTCCCCTGAGACTTGCCCTCTCACCTGTCAGGACATTGGCCTTCACAGGGGTTACCTTCCTCTTGTCTCAAGCACAGAGAGGCCACCTTGTTCACGGTCCTTGGTGTGTCCTGTTCAGTGGCAGAGTGTCCTCCTTCTGGCCCAGGGCTGTCACCTTGTCCAGGTCGGGCACCCTGGGATCATGCAAAGATGGAGCTCCAGCTCCTTGATCTGTAAAGGAGTCACATCCTGGCACTTCTGTTGCTCGGCTCTGAGAATCAGAGTCACATTGTCATCAGGGTCGGAACAGAAGCAGGACATAGGTCCATGTGAGAAGCGACAAGACCTAGCCCTGTGGAAATGGAGAGAATGTTCGCGGAGGCCGCTGGCCTGGGTGACGGAGAATGCTGGCATGGTCACAGGAATCAGGAGGTGGAGGTGACTGGGAGGGCGGTGGTTTGAGGAGCAGGTATTCGCTGGGAACGGCAGTGAGATCTCTGAGTTTCCCAGCATTTAAAATAGAATTCAGGTTATCGACAGCAGTTCCGGAACACGTTCTCGGGGTTGTAGAATGGGTGAGAGTTGTGAGGATTCCATGAGAAAAATGTGTGAAGCGAGTCTGTAACTATGAAGTATTGAAAAAAACAGACGTGCCTGGTTGCCGAGGGCGGTGGCTCTCCGCCATGCTGCTGGCCTTCTGGCTGTCACTCACCAGCTGGGCCTCGAGAGCTCCCTCCTGGAACCCTGCTTTCTCACCTCAAAATGGAGATGGTAACAGCACATCACAGGTTGTTCTGCCTATGCACGGAAAGGCGGCCTTCCCTGCCTTTGGAGAATATAAACACCTGTGTGCAAATACCAGGGGCGTCTCCTCCAGCGTCTGCTGTCACTCTATCCCACCCATCAACCAAGGGCCTTTTCCCTGGACCCTGAAAGATCTCAAGGCCGGTCGGTCCCCTGCCAGGACACTGCTTTGAAAGAGGCTGAGGCCCCAAATTAGAGATGCTCCAGGCGCCTCCCATAGCCCGTCCCCTGGAAAAGGGTAAGGTGCCCCTTCCAGGCTATGGCGTTCCTGCCAGCTCCATGCTGCGCATTAACCTTGCTGCACAGGGGCTGAGAGTGACCAGCCAGGAGGAGATTTATGTGCCCTTCACACTGACCTTGAGCTGCCTTTAAGATGAATTACCTGTGGGATGCTTTGCACTCCTGGTTTTCACTGTGACCCTCTTTTCATACTTGTTCTCTGTTTTTCCACCCGCATTCCTCCTCCAGTCCTTGGGGCTCTGAATCCTAAGACAGTAAATCGATCTTGACATCCTAGTCCGTGAATCAATCTTTCAGACACAGGCAGCAAGCCTGCGCCTCCTCCACTTAGAGTGGAGTCTGTTTAATTGGTTGGCAGGCATCTGAGGTGAACCTACTGTGCGCCTAGCTTGGCCACTGAGGGGCACAGAAGAGAAGGTAACAGTCAAGGAGCTTAAATTTTACTTGAGGTCATGGATGAACCATGGATTCTTTAGTTTCACTCTGTGTTTGTGGCATTTATTCATGTTTGCATGTTGTCTTGTTTATTTTCACTGCTGTGTAATATTTCAATATATGAATATACCATATTTGTTTGTCCAGTCAACTGTTGGTGGGCATTTGGGTGGTTCCCAGTTTGGAGCTGCTCTTTACCTCTGTGTTGCATACTGTTGGTGAACATCTCTGTCCAATTTGGTCATGTTTATACCTGGGAGTGCAGTCCCAGGTCACAAGACATGCACACAGGCAGCTTTAGAGGAGGTGGAAGTATTAATTTTAAACAGTGAGATGAAGCAAGCTGTAGGGCTAACAAGGGGTGGATGGCATCCAGGAGGGCAGAAAAGCCAAATCATAGAAGTTGGATCAAATAAAGCGTCTTTCATCACATAGGAAACATCCAAGGACGAAGGCTGGGGCCGGTTAACTTAGAGAAACTCAGTTGCTGGTGTAGCCTTGGTCTGTGAGGGCTTCTCGGTTCTGCCCGATTTCAGGGAGTGGGAAAGTCGACCCCCCAACATGGACCCTCCAGTGTGCCTGGATCTGCAGAGCCCCTGCCTGGGAGATGCCACGGCCATCAGGCTGGCAGTGGTCATGGCAGCTCATCCACATGGAGGCTTTTAGGAGAGAGCCATGGGCTGGGGCAGCAGAGACTTGGGCAGGTTCTACACCTGACTGCACAGCTCCGTCAAACACTACCGAAGTGAGGGGCCCATGCCAGGGAGGAGGCCAGGGGTCCACCCCAAAGTCCTCTGGACTCTTACTGGGTGCACCAGCCAGGATACTCACCCCAGCCTCCGAGCGGCCCAGGATCACAAACCGAGGCACAGGGGGGCCTCTGCAGCCCTTTCCAGGACTGGGCCTTGAGGAAGCCTTCTGCCCACTTGTCCTCCGTGTCCAGGCTGAGCCAATAACGCCATCCCTTTCCTCCCCAATCTCTTCTAGAACGGCAGCAAAGATAACTCTCTGGACATGCTGGGCACAGACATCTGGGCTGCCAACACCTTTGATTCCTTCAGGTAAGCCCCGCTCCCTCTTGTCCATGGTGCGTGGCTCCGGCCAAGACCCCCTCCTACTTGTCCTTATGCCTCACGGGATCTTTGGGGGCTGCGTAAATGTTGAGACTTCGCTGATCAAGCACCCTGTAGAGGGGGCTGAAGCAGAAAGCATGAGACTGAAGAGGAAAGAGGTCAGAGAGAAGAGAGGAGAAGGAAGGAAAAGGAGGGGCGAGCGTCCAAGGGCAAGAGAGAAGGAAAGGGGAAGAGGAGGCAGAGAAGGAAGAGGGTTGAGGGGGCAGGGAAGACAGGGCCGACAGTCCAGCCAGCTTGTGGGAGAGGGAGACAGCCAGATGGGAGCAAAGGAGCGTGGCTCATGGGCACGGCTGGCAGCCCGGGTTAGAGCTGGGGACAGATGGCTGTGGCTTCAGACCCCCACCTTTCCCACCTGAGGTTGTAGCAGGTGGGCGAGCTGGCTGCAGAGAGGTCTGGAGGAAGGAAGGATTATCAGTGGCTCATGTTCTGGAAGGTCCCTGATGGACCAGGTCGGAAGCATAGGTATTGTCCAAGGTTCCTCAGGATGTGGGGACAGTGCCCCTGAAGTGTTTGCTGATGGGCTCCTGCCATGATGTCACTCCTCCGGGGACTGTTGGCCTTGGACTGCGGTAGCCTTTTAGGTCCACTCTGCCTTAGCCCTGTAGCTGTCACTCCTGGGCATACTCTAGAAACCCCTAGCTTGGGTTGGGCTCAACCCACCTGGAAGCACGTGAGTCTCCTGGGCCTGGAACTTGCAGGGCCTGGAACTTGCAGGACCTGGCCTCTTGCTTCCTGACAGATTTGTCTCATGTCCCTCAGAGCTGCCTTGTCGCCATTCTGTGCTGCCGTCAGAGGCTCTAGTGACAGGTTTTGGCCTTCTTTCCCTCTCCAGTCTTTCCCAAATGTAGATGTGAAAACAAGCTCTCAGGTGGTGTTTAGGGGGACTGCTGTAGCGTAGGCATCAGGCCCATGTTTGTGTTTTATAAGCATTACCATATAGCAGAGTTGAGGAGAGGTGAGGGCTTCGCAGGCCGTTCCCAGACCTGACACCTCAGGCTCCAGTCCGAGTGAGGGGTCCCTACCTGACCCTGCTCTTGGCTGGTGGGTGCCCTCCCCTTCCTGCCTGGTTGTGCCTTGGGTGTGTGGGCCCCATCAGCAACAGTTTGTCACCCGCTTTGCCTCTCATTTATTGCCCTCCCTCGCCCTCTAGTGGTGCCACCTGGGACCTGCAGCCTGAAAAGCTTGACTTCACCCAGTTCCACCGGAAGCTGCGACACACGCCCAAGCAGCCCCTGCCACACATCGACCGTGAAGGGTAAGGGGCGGCCAAGGGGCACTTACATAGCGGTAGGGTGGGGTGGAGAACAGCCGAGAGCGGCCTTTCCCTGGGCAGGAAGGACACACAGACGGCTCATGGCCTCAGATCTGCAGGCTCACTGGCCTCTCCTGAATCCTCCACCCTTCACTGCCCAGGCCCTTCCAGCCACACTTCTAGCTCCCCTTCCTGACCACTCACAGTGGCCCTGCTTGTCCATAGCCTAGGGCAGTGGGCCTCACACTTGATCAGAACCACCCGTGGGGCTTGTTAAACCACGGGTTGTAGTGTCCACGCCCACAGATCTGGAGCGGGGCCTGAGAATGTGCATTTCTAACCAGTTCCAAGGCATGCCGACGCTGCTGGCCCGGAGACCCCACTGTGAGAGCCACTGGCGTAGTGGTTGACTTTACACCAGGTTGTCTCTCCCTGTAGTTATTTCGTGTATCAGTTTCGTCTTCCCCTTGTAAAGAACCCTGTCCTCTTGGGTTTTTGCGGAGGCTTCATTACATAGTCACGGTTGACTAAATCATTGGCCATAGGTGACTGAGTCAATCTCCAGCCCCTCTCCCCTTCCCCAGAGGTCAGGGGGTGAGACGGACAGTTCCAGCCCTCCAATCTCTTGGTTGGTTCCCATAGCAAGCAGCCCTATCCTCAAGTTACCTATGGACTTTCCAAAAGTCACCTCATTAACATAACGAAAGACACCATTCCCTCTCCATCACTTAGGAAATCCCAAGAACTTTAGGGTCCCTGTGCCAGGACTAGAGACAGAAATCACATGTATCTTATGATAAATCATGGGGTCCCCCATGATAATTCTATGTTTTAACTTTTGGGGGACCTGCCAAACTTCTCCACCGCAGCTGAACATTTTACGTTCCCACCAGCAATATACAAGGGTTCCGATTTCTCCACATCCTTACCGACACATGTTGTTTTCTGTTTTGTTTTTTTTTTCTCTTTTAAATTATACTCATGACTTTTATTTTTTTCTTCCAGTCCTTCTCTGCCCAGTCTTGTTTCCCTGTCACTTCAGGTCTAAACATAACCGATATTATTGGCTGTACTTGCGTGCATCTCACCTGGCCTCCTGCTCCAGTTTCCATCCCACCTCACCCCTTCTCTTGGTCTCATCGCAGTATAGTGAGCAGCAATCCAGGGAGGGTGATGTTCTCATCCTCATTTCAGAGATGAAAAGCAATGAAGCTCAGAGAAGCACAGTAGCTTGCCCGAGGAGCAGAACCATGAGTTAAGGCCGTATGATGCCATCCAGCACCCAGATCGCCCCCTTAAAACTTTATGCAGAACTGTGCACACGTGTATATTTTTCTGGGAAGAGATGCCTCACCTACATCAGACTCTCCCAGGAGAACCCCGCCTCTTAACACACCTCCTTTTGCATTGCCCTGCCTATGTGGGTTCCATCAGAACTCTCAAGGTCATTTTTCTTTGAGTGGGGAGGGGAGATAGCCTTGAGCATGGAGGCACCCTGTAAGAAGGAGATAGAGCAAAGTGGGGGCCCAGCCGTGAGGCTCCCCTGGCCCTGCCCCATGCCATCCACCGTTCACTGCATGCCCAACCCCTCATTCAACAGTGGTGAGGCCATTTCCTCCTGAGCTGCCTAGGGCTGTGCCCTTCACACTGCTGAGTTTAGGAAAGCTGACCTTTCCTCAGCAGGTCAAGTTCAGGAACAGGTTCTCAGCAGAGGAGATGCTTCTCATCTGCCCTATTGTGGGAGTTTTTGAGCTTGGAGTAGACCATAAGAACGGATCAGATTGAGCATTTTTCACTTCTGAAGCCCATTCACTAGGCCTGCTGGGTCTCCGTGTGGTGCTGGGTACTGTGAGGAAAACATACACACACACTTACTGGATAACATATAGGCTCTGCCCAGCAGGACTATTTACTGTTAAAAGGAGACATGGACCCATTTATGACTGAGACTATAAAAGACTCAGTTTAGGGGGATAGACTTCTAGAGAGTACTCGCTATGAAATGAGCTGCCAGGCATAGTTAAACGAAGAAAACGAATGTAGAAGGGGTTAGAGAGGAGAGCATTCTTGGAGGGTGAACTGTCTAGGAAGCTCCCGTGTCCCCCGGGAGCACATGGATGGTGAAACCTGAGGGGAAACTAAGGCCCAGAGGACGGAAGGACTGAAGGTGTCCGATGGAGAACGCTCGTTAAGTCAGGCTTTCCGAGGTGTCTGCACCAGTTCACACGATGTACGTCATGGTGAAATACTAGTTGGCAGTAGCCATAGGTGACTGTGTAGAGGAGGGGAGATTCCCTCACGTTGAGGGCCGTTGTCCCCTCTGAAGCCAGAGGAACCAGACACACTTGCTCACCAGGTACAGGCCAGGCTCGCCCACTCAGGAGCCTACAGGATTTTCTGACAGTCATCTGGCGTCTTTCATAGACACCTGGCTCTGGCCAAATCCTGTTTCTCCCTGGCTCCCAAGGGAGCCTAGGTGCAGCTTCCTGTGGCCACCTTATGGCTGGGCCAGGAACTGTGTCACCTTTAGAATCCTGCTGTACTGGGGACAGACTCCACATGCCACTGTAGCATCCCTCAGAAGCAGGGGACCATTCGGTTGCCAAGGCTTCCCACAGCCCGCGTTTCCATGGAGGGACAGAGATCGGAGCAGGCTGTTGCCTTGGAAACCCCGTTGGCAGCAGTGACTCAGGTGGTCTGTATCAACCTTCTGCCCTCTGAACCTGTAGTTCTCCAGGGAGTTCTGAGCCCTGGGTAGGGCAGGCCCAGGGTCTAAGGGGCCACAGCGCTCCCTGCACACCGCCCACGGCCCACCACAGGGCTGCTGAGGTGAGGACGAAAGGCTGTGCCGGTGCTGCACTAGGCCAGGGTGCAGCATGTGGTTGGGGCCAGAGGTATGTCATACTCACATGTGACCTAAGGGAGGCTGTATCAGCCAATCCCGTAGGCCAGGAGTCCCCAGGTCCCTCCTCCCCTGCTGCTATGATTCCTGCAAAACACAGATGACTACAAGCAGTCGGTGCCTTCACAGGCCAGCCTGTCTCTACCAGCCTGGCGGATTTATTAGTTAAAAGGTGGCTGGGTGTTTCCAGAACTTCCTCCATCTCCTCATCTGCAGCCCAGCGCATCACAAGGCTGGGGAGGAAGTGGAGGGGGTAAGAACTCTTCTCTTTTCCTTCCTTATACCCCGCCCACCCCAGCTCCACCTGCCAGACCCCTAGCTATGTTTCCAGCCCTTGCCCTCCAGCGCTGTCTTGCTCCTTTTGCCCACCCCCATGCACCCCATCCCCACCCACTGCAGCCACATGAACGCTGACTTCCCTGCTGGCAACGTGCTTGTGCTTAGCTCCACCCACTGCTGCCCTCTGCCTGGTACATTCTCCCAGATTCTCTGCTTAGCCAGCTCATGACCCGTCACCCTCCCTCTGTCCAGACTGTTCTGGAAGCTGCTCCTTTATATTCCTGTAGTGCCCTCTCTTACCCCTGACCCCAACACTGGCTGTGACACCAAGGGCCCAGTCTCTGCATCATGTACACGGAGGCCCAGCCGGAGCTGGAGCCCACACAAAGCATTTGTGAAATGGGGGTGTAGATCATAGCCCTGTGCCCTCTTGCACCCAAGCTTCTGCTCATTTTTGCAGCCGTGTTGCTCTTCCCGGGGCTTCCAGGGCTGCTCTGTCCAGAGGACTTTCTTGACACTCATGTTGTGCTGTCCCCTACTGGTGCTCAAGAGTACTGCCCTGTTAGATGAGATTAGGACTTGTTTCCTAAGAGCCATGAGCTGTGAGTTGTCTGAGGGCAGGAACCACATCATTTATTGTCCATGATTCCAAGGACAGTTGACGGGGCCCAAAGCACAAGAGAGCCTTGGCAAACATTGAGCAAATAAGCTAATTACTCTGAAATTTGAAAGTTACATTAACTCTGCAGCTGGAAAACACTGCTGCCTACTAGCTGAGCAGCCCTCACCAGACCTGGGTCAGTAACAACATAATAGTAGTAGTAACTAATACTGTGCATGGGGCATGCTCCAGTCTGCGCTCTAAGTGCTTGCCTCGTATTATTGGAAGTTCACCACAACCTAGGGAGCTATGAGCTATTATTCTCTTTACTTCGATAGATGAGGAATCTAGGAGACTCAGAAAAAATGAGTGACTTGCATGAGGCTGGGTGGGTGCTAGGCTCTGTGCCCTTACTCAATCACTATGCTACTTCTCTTCACAATAACAATAAAACCGCAGTCATAGTAGAAGTAGAGGTAGTACTAGTAGTAGTAATGTATTTACCTTGTTATTTATTTTATTATAATTTTGTTTATTACCTGTATCTACCATAATATATTTGCCATTAAATATGATGTATCAAATGTGTGTGTGTGTGTGTGTGTGTATGCCTATGGTGTGCATGCGTGTGTGTGTGTGTGTGTGTGTGTGTATGCCTGGCAAAGTTCTAAGCTCTTCGATATATTAATCCTCTGTTTACCTTATGTTAGGCACAATTAATTATCCCCATTTTTCAAACGAGGAAACTGATGTACGGAGAGGTTAAGTGACTTGCACAGGGTCACCCAGTTAGTAAGGGATGCAGCCGGGATTCCAACCCTGGCAGTCTGGTTCCAGAATCTGCACTTTAAATATGCTGCAGACATGGACCTTTGGCAATGAATCAGGGCCAGCATCTCTGGCCTGAAGGTACGCCTGCCTACAGCAGACATGAGGACAAAGCATCAATATGAACAGGCTTGCTGGACTGGCTCAAAGTTAGGCTAAGGAGAGAGGAAACCCCATTGGAGGCCTGTGTGACCTTGAGAAAGTTGCTTGGTCTCTCTGTTCATTCATTTCCCTTTACCGTAATGGGCAAGATGATCGGCTTTTGCAGGAGCTGTGACAGATTTGGGGGTTTTCATTAACAAGAAGCTTAGTGTCTTTGCCTGGAAGGGTCGAGGGGACTCTGGTACTTTTGTGCTGCCCCCGTCCCCAGCATTACTGTCTACATGAGTCCTTTGTCCTGCACAGAGGCCTGTGTTGCCAGGCCCAGGGGTGGAGGGCAGCATCTCTGGGGTCTCCATGGCCATTTCCTCTGGGTGGAACAGGCTGATTCCGGAGGCCTTTAGGGAAGGAAGGACTGGGTATCCCCTGATTGTCCTGCTTTTTCTGCTTGCCAGGCTGGGATAGGACACACACACCATCCTTTCAATGCCTTTGTGTCTTTTCTGGTCCAGGTGTGGAAAGGGGAAGCTGGAAGATGGGGATGGGATCAACTTGAATGACATCGAGAAGGTTCTCCCAGCCTGGCAGGTAGGTGCATGGGGCAGAGTGTCCCCACACCCCTTCTTCCCCCAGGTCCTGATCCTGGGCCTGGGCAGGGCCTAAGCACTCCTGCTGGCCTCTCGCTCCAACAAACCGTAACTGGATGTGCTGCGCTGGTATGTGAACCGGGGTGGCTACCTGCCATGGTCCAGTGTTCCGCTCTGATACGTGTGCAGAGGGCCCTGTGGCCCCCAGCTTAATGCCTCCTGTAGATCTCCGGGTCACTATAGCTTCTCTCTCACTGGGAGCCATGCATGGGGCACATGTCCTAGTGAGCGGTCCTAGATAGGCATGCTTCAGACAGAGGTCACATGTCACAGTGAGTGGTCCTAGGTGGGCATGCCTCACTCAGAGCTCAGATGCTGATACCTGGGTGCCTATCCCCCCCTAATTCCAGCCAAAGCCAAGGACCCCCAATCCCTGACGCACAGTGGGCAATGGGTCCTGGGGTGATTCCCATGCAGTGCTGTCCTGCAGGGACGCCCGTCTCTGAGGCTGCTGGGACTCAGACCCTGGAGCTGCAAAGGACTGGGGGTCAGGACGGGACAGTAAGTGCCCACATCTGCCCAGCACATTTCTCCACCCATTAAAAGCACTTAGTTGGTTAGTAAGGACTGATACTATTGATGGGGACTGTCCCCAAGATCTGCTTCCCCAAAATGGGAGCTGAGGGAGAAGAGCAGGTGAGCTGGGGTAGGTGATAGACAGCAGCCAGAATTTAGCTCCACAAACCCTCAGCAACTTCAGGTGAGCTGAGGCTAGCGTGCTCCCCAAGAACTCTGATCTGAGGTGGGCAGCTGGAGGCTTTGAGTGTGGCGACATGGATTCGGGGGGACATCAGTTATGGTTCTAGGCAGTGAAGCCACATGGCAGGGCAGAAGCTGAGACCCATACCACTGGGCTTAGGATGGAGTCCTGGGGGACGCACCTGCCTTTTTGGAACGTATTGTGTACTGTGGGTTGGTGGAATGGGGGACAATGATGACAACCCCCATTATTTGTGATCCTGCTCTGAGTGTGGCCCCAGGGTCAGATGCAGCTAAATGCAGAGGCCATGCAGACAGACCGTGCACCGTGACCTCCCACTAGAGGGCACCAGCGCACCGGTGTGGAGGCTCTAGTCTGGCGTTTGCACTGGGAAGTCCACCATCCCCAGCAGCCAAAGGTGTCCTTGCCGCCTTATTGATGTTGGACATGCAAATTGTCCCCAAAATGACCCAGTCCAATGCTCAGGCACATCCTCCCCAGAACGAGGGAGAGGATGAGGCAGTGAAGGAGGCAGCCACACAGAGGTATAGGGAAGCACCTGTTTGGCCAAAATGTCCCCTGCTGTGCAAAGGCCTGCCATTCCTCCAGGGAGTACCCCCCCACACACACACTCCTGAGCCCCCTGGGAATGCATGACAGCTCCCAGGAGGGCTCACCCCTTAAGCCTCTATCAGCTGCACAGACAAGGATGGTGTTTGCCCTTAGAGTGAGGGGTGCTGACAGTATTCCCCCCATAAGCTTCACCAGTGTGAGACTTGGGAGATACAAAGCATTGGCTTCTGTCCCTGGAAGGTCAGATACTGTCAGGCTGAGCTGAGGGGGAAAGATGGAGCCCCGAAATCCAAGCCAGGTTAAGCTTGACTGAGTTCAATGTGAAAGCAAGGGAATCGCATCTGAATAGGTTCTGGCCTCCCCTTGCACATCCCTCCCCTCGCTTCTGGCCCAGATACCACCTGGGCTCCTTCTCCCTGAGGTGCAGTAACCTGAGGAGCAATTTCCCTTCAGCATCTTCTCAGAGTGCAGGGGGCCACACGGCCTCAGGACCCTGCACAAATACCGCCTCCTGTTCCTTACGCTGCCCTGATGCTTCTGTCTAATACAAAACTCCGGTTGAAAGACGTCGTTGAATTATCCTGTGTCTTTCCCAAAGCTTTCTAAAAGGATACATTTTGATCTTTTTAAAAATTCTTTGACAGACGAACATTAATGTCTGCTGTCTTTGTCTTACAATAGGAACTGCATAACCTAACTTATTTCCCTTTTGGCCTTCCTGTTAGGAAATTTTGAAACTAAATTCTATGTCTGTCGGCAATTAATAATGAGCTCACCCTGACCTGGTCAGGCCTGTTGCTCTGATCTCTGGGGACTGACCCAGGTTAGGAGTGTACAATGTGTAAGTCCCCTGTTGCGAGGTCAGCGTGGCACACACGCTGAACAAGAAACAGAACTGAGTCAAGTGGGATTCCTGGCCTCATGGATGTGCCCAAGGCTCTCTCTGCGGAGGGGTTCAGGAGACTCAAGGAAGATGAAGTGGGGTTTCGACTTCATGAGACTGTTTCCAAGGCACTGTCTTCACACAGGACCCAGAGAGAGGACAGGACACCCACTAAAGAAGGGACAGTGAGACCTGGGGTTAAGCACCCTTTTTCTCTGCTTTGCCGCAAATAATGACAGGGTGAGAACCTGCCCCTGCACCACACACACCCCCGAGGAATCTGAGGGACAAATCCGCTTTCAGAAAAAAAATCACTGTAGGCCAGATCGATGACCAGGCTCTCCCCACTCCATGCAGTGCTTGGAGGAATAAAAATGGTGGCAGATGCAAGAGCATCCTTGGTCTTCCAGCAGGTGGCGCCGTTGCCGCTTGAAAACTCGGGCTGGTGGGAAGGGGCCGCCCAGCTCTGGATGGAAGCCGCAGGAGCCCAGTTCCCAGCCCTCCAGATGGGAAGGAGTGACTTTATTGTTCCCTAGAGCTATGCCAGCTCTGTTGCCAAGTCTTCTGGAAACGTCTAGGATATGCTAACTCACAAGGCATAAGGATTATGAACATATCCGGAGACGCCAAGGTGCAAAGTCCTGTGAAAACTAAGCTCCACCTTGCTTCTTCAGGCCCTGTCCTTTCCCCCAAAGCGCTGCTTTGTGTCACTTCTCGGTTCCACAGGAGGTACAGTCTGACTTTATTTATTGAGTCCACCAGTACTGATCGAGCACCTTTCTGTGGACCAGGCATTGTCTTAGTCATGATGGACCGAGTTAAAGTGCCTGGGCCGCTGCCTTTCCGGTGGCCTGGGACGCGGAACTCTCCTGATGCCCCCTTATCGAGCATCCAGCAGTGACTGTATCGCACCAACAGCAACACTGCAAACACTCGCCGAGTGCTTTCCATGCTGCGGGAACTATGCCGGTGCTTTCTCTTTCTTATCTTGCACATCCTCACATTGTCCCTGGGGAGCACACGCTGTCACTGATGTCCTTTCCCAGATGGAGCTGGTTCTGGTCAGATGGCACCTTCTCAGTAGGGCCTTCCGAATGCCCTGTCCTGCACTTGCTCTCCACACGCCTCGCTTTATTCTTATCCACAGTGCTCACCACGCAAATGCTTGGTCTGCTTTCTTCCACTGGAATGCAGGCTCCACACGGGCGCATGCAGGAGCCCGTTTAATATTGCGTGAATGACCAAATGAGCCCTGACCTGCTCCTGTCCCAGAGGGACTCAGCCCCAGAACCCCAGCCCAGAACCTGTGCCTCCTTCACAAGGGCTCGCGGGAATCCAGCACTGTCTGAGCTGTGTGTCTGCATGTAATCTCTGACTTCACGTAATGGCCCTGTAAAGTATAGGTTCTGCTATTGTTATTTTACAGATGACAGAACTGCGGTCAGATATCTTGCCCCAAATCACAGGCTTATCAATGGGGGTATGAGGATTGGAATTCAGGCAGCCTGATTCCTCTGGCGCCCTTCGTTTAAGGGGTGACGATGATGAGGAAGACCGTTTTCTTATTCTAGGCGACTGTAGTCACGTATAGCAAGTTAGGGCGAATGTCATTTCCTTAATAAGCAAGAACAAGAAAATGGCTATCTTTTTTTTCTACTGCCAAAGGCACTGAAAATGGAAAAAGAGGAGAGAAAGAGAGAGACCTAGAGGGAGAGACCCCTACTGACACCTTTGAAAGAGGAAGAGATATGATTTTTACCTTTTTTTTAATAGGAAAGGTTTGTGATGGCCTCTTTCTACTCCCTGCTGGCCCAAGATGCTGCCTCAGCTCTCGAGGAGGCGTGCTTACCTAGGAGAACCCTCTGCCTCTGGCCACTCCACCCCTCACGCTTCCTCCCTCAGGACAAAAATAGGCACTGATGCAATAAAGGAGACCAGGAGTTCCTCAATCCTGGGTTTCCTGTCCGAGGCCGCCAGGTAGCAGGGCCCACTGGGAATGGCCAACGTGCTCTGCGAGGCGAGCCTGTTTTTATTGTTGTTTGTCTGTTTACAAGAAATTATTATTTGTGGGGTGAAGACTTTGTTGATGACAACTAGGAAAATTGGGGGGCAGCAGGCAATAGGCGGTCGGGACTAGTTTCTCACAGGCCTGGGTGGGCCGAGACTACAGGGAGCAGGGACCGCAGGTAGCACGTGCTCTCTGGCACTAGCGTGTCCAGAAGCCCTCCACCTCCTGTTTAGGGCAGCCTC